CACTAGGAGTCCAAGCTATGCAGTGAGACCGTGTACACCCTGTAGACCCTTCCCTAAAATACAGAAAAGAAAAGGAGAAAAAAGAATAGGGTACAGATATCTTCTTGTTCAGGAGCTAAAGCCAAACAGAGATACACAGAATAATTTCAAGACTATGAAACTGTTAATCCACAGGGACAGCATAATAATTCTATACTGGCTTGAAGACAATACTATGGTGCCAAAATATATTTGCATTAATAGACCCAGAAGTAAAAGTCTAATTCACAAATACAGTGGAGAATTTTATGCTTAGATTCTATCACTTCTGCATAGTAACTGGTAGAACAATAAAAATATACCTGCCCACAATATTAAGTGAAATAAATGAGCAAAGCAAGCTTAACTATTGCATGATTTCTCTTCAAGGGGAAAGCCACAATATAAATAAGGAGCACAAAGAAGATAATAGACAAAGGGAGTTAGAGCTTTCCCAAAAGGGAACAGGAAAAAGAGATGGCAGGAAGGGAAAAGGAGGGGGGAGAGGATTACAAATAGAATTAAGATATCCTATGTGCATCTTAATGGACCCACAGGTGCTGCAAACATGCGCTAATAGAGAGAGGGAGAGGGAGAGGGAGAGGGAAGGGGAAGAGAGATTAGGGAGGGATTAATACACATACAAAAATTGATCAACTTGTAGTATAGAAAACATGGCCTGTGAAACACACAATTTTTTATTTAAAGATAGAATATTCAAAAATATGGACAGGCACTAAGCCACTAAGTTTAGCCTCAACGAATTTCAACATGTTCTCCACACAATATAGTCCCTGAATAGTATATAATTATGCTAAAGGTGAATCTGACAGTAACTAGACAGCTCCCCCATTTGCAGGCATGTTAAGAAATAGACCACAGTGGACAGGTGCTCAGCAGGCCCCCAGACAGCAGCAGGGAACTCAGGCCATGCCGTGGCTGGTGGGTGGCACTAAGTTGCAGGCGGACAGCACTCTGTTCCGCTGTGCTGCCTACACAGCTGGACAGCTACAGGGAGCAGTAAGGCATTGCTGTGGCCTCAAAATGCTAGAAGAACAGAGTCTGCGTGTTTTTAAACAGAGAAACTAGATCAGTTTAGCCTGCTTTATAGATTACATATACATGTGTCAAACCATCACTAAGTATAATTTTGTTTTTGTGTATCCCAGTTGCATAAAGGAAAAATAAAAACAAATTGGTTCATGCTTTTTGTACAGTGAAAGAAGTAAAAGCATGGAAAGAAGAGGTAAGTCATTTTTATATCATTTGAAATGCTAATCAGTAAATACAGAAAACACTAGCGTTTTCTAAGGAAAGAATGTGGTTGTACTGTATCTATACACCTTCCTTAGGTCATTGTGCCTGTGAATAATCAAATTCTAGGATGTTTTTTAAAAAGTAAAGAATTTTTAGAACCTCCAGAAAGACAGGAAATTAAAACATATAGAGTAGGCAGAAATTATAGCTTGCATGATGGAAGTAAGTACTCTTCTTGTCAGAAAGGCCTAACAGAGACTCTGAATTTGGAAACCTTTGGGTCATGGATTCAGAGGGATCTTATTCTCCTCTCCATGCTGATATAGGAAAACAAGCTCGGTTCATGCCCTTGGGACAGTGCGCTGAAAATAGGCCTTCAGAGGCAGTGGGGTATGCAGGAGCCAGGGAACAGGAGAGAAACGGGCTCAAACACGCGTCCTGAAACACGCAAGGAGGAAAAAAACAAGGACAAGTACTGAGAAACAGTAGCTCTTGTAGGAAAATGGGGAAATGGAAGAAAGGACTCTTTTAAAATAATCCTCATTGTGCGCCTGCAGGTGCGAGTCCCCCTCCAGCTCGCTCTCTCCCAGCCGGGGAGAGAGCTGTCCACCCACTAAGAAAACTCACAACGGGGTCCGCACCGAGAAAGATAGCAGTAAGTATGACAAGCACAAAAAAACAAAACAAAACAAACAGAACAACAAAGAAACCTGTGTAAGCCAATGCAAGTGAACCTAACCCCTTATTCACGTGGAATCCCACGTTCTGAAGCAAAATAGCACAGCTACATACAGACAGCATGGTACAGGAACAGGAGAGTCCGCTCTAAAACAGCTAAGGGTAACTCTAAGAGTAGAATTAAACCTGCAACAGTAATCTAAATCATGCTAAAGATTTTTGTCAGGTTACAGCGCTGCTACAAAAATAGAACCACCATAAAACATGGAAATGTGGGAAATTAGGAAACCGTATAAATGTACAATTTAAAGTTTGATTTTATGCATAGAATAAAAACATAGGAATAGGGAAGCATGACTGAACAGTTGTTGGAGATATGTTGGGAATTAATAGCGTGGAATCAATAGCCGGAATGCAGGGATTCCAAGGGAAGGGAAAAGAGGTAATGAACTTGTGCGTGACACACAGTAAGAGTTGGGAAGAGGAAGCCGCGCTCGGTGGATGCGGAGCGGTACCTACGGAAGACGGTGGACGGGTCCTCGCAGTCCGGAGGGGCCCACCCTTCTTTACACTGACACCGGAGCTCGTGGTCGCACACCTGGAGGAGCAGCAGTCCTGTGAGTTTCCTTATTCCCCGACCAGTGAGCCTCATGCAACTGAAGTCTATCCCGAAGCAGAAGCGATGCCCACTCCACCAGCCTTTCTCTGCTTGCCTGGGGAGGACTGAACCCTGGGGGCCTCAGAAGGTCCTTAGGAGAGATTACCGATAGGCTGTGTACAGAGTGGCCACGTAATCTGCAGGACTGTAATCGCTGGTGCTGAAGGCTCTGCTCTGGCTGCACCCCCGCTAACCTAGAACTGCCCAAGACCCTGCAAGCTAAGTGCACGTGGGCAACACTCACCGCGTGTCCTCTGCACTTAGAGGAACAGTTGGCTGACTTGTAGACCCTCTCCATATCCACACACTCTGCGTTCATGCACACCTAAAAGTGACACAAACACAGGAGTTTAATGCTAGTGTCTGTTGGCTTCTGCTCTGGTCTTAGATGACCAATCACAATCAGTATACTCAAGCTCACCTTTTCACCAGTAAATCACAGTGTTCTGTTGAAACAGGAAGATAACATCTGATAATTTTGGACCAGGGAGATAGCTCATTAAGGTAAGCGCTTGCCTGGTGAGTGTAGGGTCCTGAGTTCAATCTCCCTGTACCGGGGGGAAAAATCTGATAATTTTGATAATTAAGTGTTTAGAAATTCTTTATTTTTTTAATTTTTTATTATTATTTTTTTGATGTATCTAGTTGTTACAGGGTCTCACTACACAGCTTGGACTTGGTGATCACTTGGGTCCAGCACTGGGATTACAGGCAGGTGCCACTAAGCCTGGACTCTGGCCGGCTCATCCCACCCTGGGGGGAGGGTTGGCCTTGCATGTGGTGCTAGGGGTCAAACCGCAACCTCTGCACTTGCCTATGCAGGCACTTTAGTCCACTGACCTATCTATCAAGTCCCTGTTTTTTTAAAAGATATTACAAATTGAATTAAAACAGAAAAAAATTACAAGTAATACAGAATTTCACTTAAAATAATATTAATTTCACAGGATTTGTTATAATACATAGTGTTGTCTTCCGACCAGTTATTCATATTACCAAATACATGCACGTAAAATTGAAGAAGAAAGAGAAAAAGAAAGAAATGCATAAGAAATTAAAAAGAGAAAACTTCCTTCCCTCATTTCATTCCTAGTGGGCCTTTCCATTAAACGACAGCTTCAGTTCATACTTAATGCTGATATTTAGCACTGAGCTAAGTGTGTTACATAATAGCAGGTGTCCCTTTCAAATAAAAATGTAAAAGAAAATAAATGCTGATGTCACATCGTGTGTGGTATTACCAAAACTGTTCCTGGCGTGAAGTGACTCGTACTTGCCTTTTTCCTTTACAGTCAGTGGCTCTCAGGTAATGAACACTTAGCATTTCCAGAGTGTCAAAATGTAGGAGGCATCACAATCGACTCCTAGCATATAACAGGTATTTACGAGACGCTATGAGGTGGATGAATGTGGACAAACGTATTTCTCCACAGTGCTCCTCAGAACACCAGGAGGAAGGTGCAGGCCTGGAGTTTGTTGCCCACTTCCTCTAGAACTGCTCTGCATTTATTTATTTATTATTTATTCATAACAAAATGTTTTATAATTATAAAGTGATTTTGTCTAGTTGTATGGAAACAGTATAATACTCAAGTGTTGCAAGTTTAAATACAGAGATGTTACAAAAAGCATGAATCAATTTGTAATAAAACTTACATATAGCCACATACATTTAGTTTGTTAAAATCACAGTAGAATTTACAAGTCAAAATGTACAGATCTTTTCTGTGCACAAACTGTTGTTATGATATACTTGTAAAATCAGGACCAAAATGGCTGGCAAGGTACGTCAGTGGACTAAGTGCCTGCTTAGGCAAGTGCAGGGACTAAAGGTAGATCCCCAGAACACATGCCATGCTGGCAATGCCCTGGAGTTCTCTGAGCAGCCACTGAAACTGGGTGTGGTGGCTCATGCCTGTATTTCAGTGCTGGGGAGGCTGAAAACAGAAGGATCGCTATGAGTCTGAGCTGTGTAGTGAGACCCTGTACCAAATACATTAAAAAAACAAAACAACAGCAACCACAAAAAACTAGGACTGAAGTTCCTCAAAAGTTCTTTCTTGTTACTTTCTATTCACTTTTCAGTTTCTAATTAGGTCTTTAGACCATTTTTATTGGTTGTTTTTATTGGACCATTATTTTATTGCCTTTTTATTATTGATTTGTAAATTTAAGAAGTTTGGCAGACTCTGGACAGCCTGTGTGACTCTGGTAAGCTCTGTTTTTCCTTAGCTCCCAGTGTGCAGGTGTGGAGCATCTGCTGGTGCTGTTCCAAACTTTTTTTTTCCCATAATTTTATTGATAAACAAATAGCAATGAAACGGTTTCAAATCAAATTGGTAGGACAGTTTCAATAATCAACACATTGCATACATTCTTCCCAGTGGTTAATTGCTAGACAAGATGCGGACATGATATCCTATTTACAAACACCATCAGAACATATCATTCTATTCATTAAGAGAATGTAACTATATATCTATCCTAACCACTTTGAATACACAGATACAAGATGGACATTCATCTATATCCCCTTTTTTGTTAAGCTCCGTTATTTGAATATTATAGGTGTGTAAACTCAGCAAAATATTCTAAAAGAGTCCAGTAGTCCATAATAGTATTGGGTCTTCTGCTTCACTGGCAATGTCAGAAACTGTTGACCTGAGTCCCCCACAGCTCAACATAACAGCATGGCTTTACTTTTTATATTTCATTTTTATACTTTTCTGCTGGATGGTTAAGAACAAGATAAAGCAAGACTTATATAACAAGAAATGTAACTTTCTCTTAACTCAATGAATAGAAAGATTTGTACTAATAGTGTTTGTGGACAGAATATCATGTCTGCATCTTGTACAATGAATAACCACTAAGACAACAATATGCAATACATTAATTATTGAAAATGTGCTAATAATTGGCTGTGAAACTGTCTCATTGCTATTTGGTTCTCAATAAAAATATTTTTTTAAAAAAAAAAAATTTTGCAAACTCCAAACCCAACTATGTACCAATTGTGATGATTTGGAGGGATTCAAAATCAAAACAAAAAAGGGGAGGCAGAAAGACTGGTAAAAGTAATGGTCTGCAACTAACGTTGAGGAAGGAGAGCAAGCCTTTGAATGACCATCTGTGTGAGCATGAGAAAGTTGGGGTGCGAGTGAGCAGCAGGCAATTATTGTGGGAGACAGTAACGAAACACGATCCTCCTTATGGGAATGCAGGTGAGGGGAAGTGCACGGGAGGGGAAATGGACATGAACTCTAGCTCCTGGGATTCACTTAGCTAAACCAATCGCAGAAGAACAATGGATTTGATCTACAGTGTTATCTATTTTTTCAAAGTCCACACTACTCTATGTCTCAGAAGCAATGGGAACACAAGAAGAGATGAGCAATAGTAATAAAATGGTCCTGATGCCAAGAGACCTAGAAATATCCAGATTCTGCCTTAGCTCAAGAATCCCTCCTCCTCCTTTATGGCCCAAGCACTGTAACACTCATGCCAAGCCCTGTGATGTCTCAATGCCTTTAAAATATTCCACTGGATGCCAGAAAGATATCAGTATGTGAGAACCAAAAGTCCCCAGTGAGGACATCTATTTTGTGATACTCTTGCCCTTGCTGTTGGTGCATATTTCAGAAAAGTTGGGAGAGAGGAAAGATAAAGACCATGAGTACTTCTTACCATTTTGAATCAAGATTTCAACTTCACATCAGCATAATTTAAAACTTTTCTAAATTCGTATTCTTGGCATTCAGCCTCAAGGGTCATGCCAATTACATTCACATTTGTGTAATTACTTGCGAAAATTTGTTATGGGCAATACAAACATCGAATCACAAAGATAATTTTAGAGCCATTTGTGAATGAATTTACATTTAAATAGCAAAAGAAGGTCATATAAATAAGACAGTATTTCAGGAGTGTCTTGTACAGAAAATCAGGGTAATTTTAATCATATAGTTATCTTAATGAGATCAATAATATAATTTTAATCTCTGTTAGGAGTTGAATCTCATCATCAGAGCTCACGTGTTATTGCTGACTGAGGTAGTACTGGTGTTTGAGAGTGTGAGTTATTTCATTTTAATGGATGTACTAACTCATTAATTGACGCTGAGTATACCATTTCTAGTAAGTTTTGAAACTGTAACAAAAGAAAACATATGTATCATACTTTTTTGAAATCATATCTATAAGAATCATCATCTCTATTTTACAACATAATATTTGAAAATGTTAATGACTGTCCTCGTTCGTGGCATTTACGAGGCTCTCTACCATTTTTTTGTGTTAAAATTTTCACAACTTCCCTATGCAAATCCCTACCTGTTGTGTCAATGTACAAGCAACCCAATAACTGGCAAACAAAGCAACAAGTGAATAACTGAGAAGCCAAACAACAGACCAAAGCCAAACAAAAACTCCCACTTTGAGTGAAAAGCCACAGTTTTAACTCACCTTGTTATGTCCACACTTGGTTCCATCAGCCACCATGTCTACCCTTTGACTTTTGTCTTCAGGGTCAAATAGTTTACATGTCTGGAAGGATATTGTAAATCCTTTCCAGCGCAAATCGCCTGAGCCGCCTTGACAGAACAACTTCCCACACATGACATCTCTGAGGAAATAAAACAGAATTCATTAAAGCTTTATACAAATGCAAGTCAGCTCCATGGTTATCAATATACAATGCATAACATTTTTCTATAGCAGAGATGTTTATTTTATACTTTATACCCATTTTGTCTGATCCCTCAGTGACAGCGCCCTGGAATATAAGCAAAGTATATTATTGCTCAAAGAAAGACACTTTCAGGGGCCAGGTGGATGGCTCAATAGAATAAGTGACCCTGGCAAGTGCAAGGGTCTGAGTTCAATCCCCGGTTCTGCCAAAAAAAAAAAAAAAAAAAAAAAAAAAACCAAAAAGGCATTTTCCAAGTTCTGTCCAGATTTTTTTCAAACTTCCTGAATTCTGATTAATGGGAAAGAAAAATCTTGAGCTCAAGTTCTAGAGGGAAGCTGTAAATAAAAGGACATGGCCTCTTCCTCAGTATTTTCTTCTCTTTGGTGATAGCTGGAGCTGAAAAAACTATCACACACCAAGACAAACTCTTGGGAATGGAGATCATACACATTATGCACTCAGCATATACATGAAGACTGAGTTTCAGATATCACAGGATAATCTTAAAAAGAAAGTAACATATGTATTTTTATGACTTTCAGCAGAATAATTTTAACAAAAGAAACCACAACTTTCAACAAGTTTGGTCTGTACAAAGTTGAGCCTCTTTTGACGCCCCAATTCATTGACTCTCATTACCAAAATTGACCCCCTACCGTTATAGATTAAACTGCTCTAAACTCAGTAGAAGCCACCATGAACAGCCAGTACATGTACACAAAGTCAAATGCAATGCAGCTGGAGTCAATGGCTTGATGAATAACTCCGAGACAGGCTGAAAAGTGCTTGGAAAGTGACAATGCTGTGGTTTAATCTAGAATGTGCCTTAAAGGCCTCAAGTTTCAGAGGTGGGAAGTATAGAAGGTGACTGGCTTATGAGGTTGGTGGTATAACCACCAGTAGGTTAATCCATATGCACATTCAAAAGTAAATAAATGTATTGATAGGAGGTGGGGCATGGATGGAAGAGCCGGGTCGTTGGCGGTGTGACCACAAGTGTGCACCTATCCCCTGGCTCCACCCTTCTCCTGCGGCTTCCTGGCTGCCATTACCTGAGCTGTTGTCCTCTGCCAGGCCCCTCTATCATTCTGTTTCTGCATTAGAGACAGCTGGCTGTGGATGGAAGCCCATAATAGCTGTGAGCATGAACAGTCCCACCCTCCTGGGAGTTGCAGGTGTTGATATTTTGTCCTCGCCATGAGAAAGTGATGAAGACAGATTTTTCTGATGTTTTTGGTGACAGCTGAATTCCTATTATTTTGTTTAGCAAAATTCTGTATGGTTTGTATATTTTTTAACAATTATATTTTCTTTTAAAGAAAAGTATAAGTGGAAGAAGCTGTACATCCTCTCTAAACTTGAAGTGTTTTTCTCATATCCCTTAAAATAAAACTATAAACAAGAGCACTGGCTGCTGAACAATTCAGACTGACTTTCATTTTAGCAAATGACTGTGAAGATGTGGTGAGGGGGCCTGTCTGCAGGGTGAATGAGTCACTTGGGTGTCTTGTTACACAAATTGTCTGTTGTTCATACAAACAGTTATATAGGACACCGGCATGTGCACAGGCTGCAGGTGCAAATGGAGCTACCTTGTTCTCTGGCCACCCACCACCAACATGGGCACTTCCGTCCATCCCCCATATTGTAACTTTTACATAACTTCCACATCCTGCCCTGAGTTCCTGGAATGGAGAAATCACACGAGAGGATTTTTCCAATTCATCCCAGATTTCTTTTCAAGAGCTGACTTCACATTCAGACTAGATTTGTTTTGTAATACTTTTCATCCAGCAATATTGGTGTTCAAAAGCAAATTTTAGAAAATGCTAATTTTGTTCAACCTAATTTTGCATTGCTTTGTGTATGTAAAATTTGAAGCAGACACACGAATTTTGTTTGTTGTAACTTGAATTTTTAATTTCATTTTAAAATTAGGAATTAAAAAAAATAGGAGAACAAAATCTCAAGTTCACTGTATAACTTTTCTAGGCTATCCATATAAAACTAAAGCAAACACAGCCTGTGAACTGTCAATCTTTTCTCTTACTGCACATTTTCTTCATGTAATTCTATCAAATTTATTTCAAACTGCACTTGCCTTTATTAATAATTCTTCATGGTAGAGGAATATTTCTATCCTTAGACATATAATGAAAAACACTATATTGCAAAAGGTGCCTAACTGGGGAATTCATGGGCAAATTTCCACATGAACCCATCCAGTGTTGCCTGTGACCCCCTCCACCCAAATGCCCACTGTACTTCAGGAATATACCCAGTGCCATCTGCAGCACCCACCATGAGAGATCTGAAAAAAGACACGCTCTCTCACTCTCATTGTCTTTTCAGATGCAGAATCTCATCCAAATGATGGTGCATAGTATAGTCACCCAGTGAACGTGCATCACATGAATGTCGCCCAAACTCACTTTCCCTTCAGCTGAAATAAACAGGGCTGGAAATATGCCATTGCCTTAGTCTGGGAGCAGGAAGATGCCAATAGCAACGCCACTTACTTTGCTTTGCAGGGCATGTGGGTACCATTCACCATGTGACAGTATCCGTACTTGGAGCCACCTTCATTCCTGTTGTAACATGACTTATTTGCAACCTTGGTTCCTAGACCATGGAAGAGTTGTAGGGGCATGATTGAAAATGGAAGAGATAACAAGTGAGTGTTGCAAAGGATTAGCAGAGGAAGTACCGACTGAGTGTCCCTTACACAAAATCCCTAGGAACAGATACATTTTAGAATATTTGCTTATGCATAATGAGATATTTTAGGGATAGGTTATATATCTAAACATGAAATTAATTTATGTTTCTAATTTATCTTATACACATAGCCTAAGGATAACTTTATTCAGTACTTTTAGTGTTCCTGGGTTTTGACTCGAACTCTGCAAAAGTGGCAGTTTTCACTTGTGAATTGCATTGGTGCTCAAAATAATTTTGTTTTTGTTTGTTTTTTGTATTTTAGGGAAGAGTCTATACAGTGTTCAGGGTCTCACTACTAGATCAGACTCATAATGATCCACCTGTTTACAGCTTCCCAAGAGCTGGGATTACAGGTGCACCCCACCATGCCCAGTCTCAATTGTCTTCTCAGCTCTCCTCAGGGGCGGGGCCAGCATGGCAGGGCTGGGGATTGAACCCCCAGACCCCATGCCTGCTTGCAGGCACTTTAATCCACTAAACTATTTAGCCAGCCCTCAAAATAATTTTGAATCTAGGAGAATTTTGTATTTCAGATTTTCTGATCAGAGATGTTCAACCTGTACTATTTTGACATAATTATATTGAATGTTTTCAGCAATACAAGCTTTAATAACTTGCCATCAGAAGTGGCTAGAAATTGAAAGAATCTTCTAAATGTTCTACTGTTACATAATGGCAATGTAAACGTACAAGCGTGATTGCTATTCAAATTCTATCTTGTTGATGAGTGCAGCTGTACTATATATTTAACTCCTACTGTGTGCTATGGACAATGATGGACATCATATATTTTACTTCTCACGGACCCTTTCTCACATTTTCCGATGGGTCCAAACCATAGTTGTGAAGATTTCAGGTTTTAGGCAAGACGAGCCACTGTGTGCATCTGGGTCTGCAGTTCATTGGCCAAATGAGGATTCTGTACAACGGTTCCTCCATCACAGAGCTGGTGTGAGAATTACATGAACTAGCACATATGAGCCACTGAGAGTCCCGCTTGGTATGTGGTTCAGAAGTTTTAGCTTCTCTTCTGTCCATCTCAAGGGGACCACAAAGTCGTACTAAATCACAGAGATGATGGATCCAGTTTTGTCTGTAAAGACTGCATGAATCCATGATTTTATCAATAAGGTATGAAATTGCATGGTCACGTCTGTACCAAAACCTTACTTTTAGCACTTAGAGCAAATCTTTGCAAACTCAAAGACAACACTGCCCTGTGACAAAGACAGTGAAATTCATATTACCTTGTTAAGTGAAAGTCTGTATCATGTGTAATATTTTGTGTTTTAATACTATTTTGTACTCTCCTTAAAAAATAAAAAAATTAAAACGTCTTTGCAAACCCATAAATATGGAAGACTACTTTTTGTTCACATTTATTATACTGCTACTTGATTAAAGTTATTTTAATTTTTAGTGCACATTTGGATTTCTTCATTATAAAGAATTGCCTAGGGCTGGTCAGATAGCTCAGTGGATTAAAGTGCCTGCTTAGGCAGACTCAGGGACCTGGGTTCAATCCCTGGCAGGCCGTGCTGGGCCCGCCCCCAGGGCATACAGATACTGCAATTGAGACTGGACAGCGGTGCATACCTGTAATCCCAGTGCTTGGGAGGCTGAAAAACAGGAGGATCACTACAAGTCCAATCTGTAGTAGTGAGACTCTATGGACCTATTTTTAAATACATTTAAAAAAAAAAAAGAGAGCTGTCTATTTGTGTCTTACCACGTTTTCAGTACTTGGAATTCCAACTGATTTGTAGAAATGATTTAATGTTCAAAAAGTAACTTTTACTATGCATATTTATATATGAAAAAATGTTTCAGATCCACTTAAACTTGTGATCTATGAACTGTAAAATGTTGAATTTTTTGACAGATCAAATTTTCTAGTATTTTGTAATGGCTGCCTTTCTATGCGTGATTTTAAAGCTCTTTCCAACAATTAGATGCGTCTGTTCAATATTAGTTCAATAGATAATTTTGAACATTTACTAAAGTCAGATATTGTGCCCAGAGGCAGTGGCACGGGGGCTTTGCTCTAGGAAGCTGATAGTCTCGTAGTGCAGACAGACGAGGATCTTGTAGATCAGACAAGCAACAGACTCTGCACCGCAGGTAGGTGCCAGATACCTGTGTGTGTCTGCCACAAACCAGCAGCTTCACTTTTGTACTAAAGATCTCCTTTCCCCAGGCTTGTGTCATCTAAAGAGGTTAAACAAGGAAGCATAAGGTTGTTATCCAGGAAAACAATTTTGCTCCCAGTTTTCATTTAGCATAAGCACCTCCAGGAAGTATAAACAGGACTTCAGCCAGATGTTAGCCTGTGGGCTCACTGATGAGGTGTTGGAATTTTTCTCCTTGAACTGTCTTAGCCTCCTCTTGGCTGGACACAGAGGGTTTTATTTAGAAATTTTTGTAAGATCTCCATGTTTCTTTCTTTCTGAGTGGTTTGTGGGTCAGCGATGTTAAAAATTTCATTCCTCCATTTTTGATCTAGGTGTATTCTCAGGAGTTCTGTAATGATTCTTTCCAATTATATTTAAAAATTTGTAATTTCTTTGCCTTCTTGAATAAATATTCCCTATGCTGTTTAAACAGGAATTCAAAGTGTGATAGGGAAGGTTAGAGCAATTAAATCTTTAGGTGCAAGACACACACAGTATTCAGGAGCTTCAAATATTTGTTTTGCTAATTCCTTTTATTTTCTCCAGAAGTTTGTAATCTTCACTGTCCCACTTGCCCCAATTCCTGGTAACCATCTATTTATTCTCTAGTTCTGAAAGTTCAGTTTTGTTTGGATATTACATATAAGTAATCTCATGTATGTCATCTAAAATTGTTTTTTTAATCAAGCTATTTAATAGAAATTTAATTTTGGGTTAAGGTTTTTGGTGATCTTTACATTATACTTTTATTCATCATCTTTGAATCTGAAAGTTCTCTCAAATTCCTGTGGACAGTGGCCACTGAGGGTGATCACATACTCCCATGGCTCTTTTGCATTCCCTATGTCTTTTTCCTCTTCTCCCCTCCCGTTGCTGCTGGGCATCCTTTAGCCTACCTACAGATGATTGTGAGCACACACATACACACATGCACACACACACACACACACACACACACACACACGGACATCTCCATGTCTGTGGAGGTCATATGTGTCTGAAGGGAATCAGGGTTGACAGCACATAATATATCCTTTTTAAGTTGAATTTTAAATAAACAAATATGAGGGCTAGCTAAATATCTCATCGGATAAAGTGCCTGCTTAGGTAGACACAGGGGCCAGTAGTATGATCCTCGGGTCTGCAGTGTCGGTTCTGCCCCCAGGGTGTGCTGCAAAGGCCATTGAGACCGGGCATGGTGGCTCATGCCTGTAATCCTAGCACTTGGGAGGCTGTAAACAGGAGGATCACTACGAGTCCAGTCTATACAGTGAGACCCTGTAGACCCTGTAGACCCTGTAGACCCCGTCCTAAAAATAACAATAAAAAGTTTTATTATGTCTCAAGTGCTGCAGGGCATATACTGATGCTAAAAAGAAAGTTGCTGCCAATCTGAAATTAAAGTTTATCTGACCCACTCTAACCTCTATTAGCTAAATCTAACTGTATTCCTTTCACCTCAAAGTGCACTCATACAGGGGTTTGCATAGTGACACAGTTTCTGTGAGGGATGGACAGAATGGTCCTCTGGCTGTGATTAAACACTGTTCATGAACGATTGCTCTTTGCATGTACACGAAGAGAAGCGTGCAGCCCTACCTGGACCCCACATGTCCATACACTGCTCTTCTAGGGTGGGGCATTGTCCCATCAAGCAGTAGCCGAGCCCGTTTTGACAAGGGAAGCCGTTGACTCTGAATCTGTCATCAGGGCACCGACTAGATTTCCCATCACACATTTCCGGCAGGTCACACTCATGTTTGGCTGATCTGCACACCATTCCAGCCTTTTTCAACTGCAGGAGAACAGAAAAAAGGTTTGTATCCCCCACCCCCTTATCCAAATACTTCACATTTACTACTTGTAATCTTTTCTATTTGGTCTTTCTGGGCATGAGCATTTGAAGTATAATTTTTTGCATTGTGTGCCTCAAGGCATCTTCTGTTAATCACTTAATGTTAATGTTGGGCATCACATGAAGTCTTCCGCAATCAACATTTTGATTAGGTATTATGCATATGAAGAAACCTAGTACAGAAAACTTCAGAAGGAAACCCAGACACATTGCAGATGCAGGGAAGGAAGTTACTTCTCTCTCTTTTTTGATAGAGTCCTTGTCAAGATTTTTAAGATTTACATCTGCAGCTTCAGAATTCTAGTGGTATAACAGATCTTGTACACTAACAACAATTTTACAAGCCCCAGATTAGCAAAATGACACCAGGCTTTTCCAAGAATTGACATTCCCTAAATCTTAATTGCTTTGATTGTAGGCTCATATAGTTCTTTTTCTATTTACTCTTCCCAGTGGAATGCTTCATCATTACAGAAAAGTAATAAAACACTCACTTGATATATGAACTTCTTTGCAAGCTATTACTGCAAATCTTGCTTCTATTCGCTCAAAGAAACTTTAGTACATTCCATGCAAACCTGAGGAGACAAGTCTTCTCCTAGCTGTGTGAGCAGTTGTGCCCACTAGACATAGACCGTGTTGTTTTTACAGACTTCGCTGTGTATATTGAAGTTAGAAAGCACGATGTCTTGACGCATACATACAAAGTGAAGTGACATTGGACAACGTGTCATTTGTGCTTACCTAAATTCTACTGAGATATTAGTATGAAAGTGAGTAATATTATAAACTAGAGCGCATTACTCTTACTTGGCATTTTTCGCAGCATCCTCCTGATGCACACTGAAAGCCCGCTTTGACTTTACAGGTCTTGACATCACAGCAAACGTTGGTACATTCCTAAGAAATGCCAAAAGTAAATGTATGTCATGGGTTATCATATCACGTGTTATTTTTAGTTATATTTCTGTATAATTCATGGCATAATTTATTTATCACATAGACATTCTTTAGAAGAACCTAAAAACGGCCTTTTGGAAAATAATATATCATAAAATGAATAGCAAAGACTTAACATTATAAAATCAGACTCTGGGCAACTTGCTATTTGTATTTACCTAGATTCTACTTACACCTTTTTAAACAAATATCCTTTCTAAATATAGTTCTCCAATACTCAAGAAAGATCTCTTATTCTTGATAAAATTTGAGGGAAAGAAAATAAAAAGGGCAGCATTAGATTAAATGCATCTAAATAGTTCCAAATCATAATTGTTTCAATTCATTAGATAGCTGCCCAGCACACCTCACCCCCTAAAGTACACACTGAAAAGCTAAAGGTGTATCACTTAATGCAATTCTGATATTTCCTTCATCTCTATTTAAGGTGTTTTGCTGCATCTTTGTCTCCCTGCTTTGTTTCCAAGGAACCAGAAATCCTCCTGTGTGAGGATCTGGAAAAGCTTCTATCTCCAGGATTTTCCTTGCAACTGTCCAGATTTCTATGCAAGAATGGTATCCTCAGAGTTATAATAGTTAATGGGTAGAAGTCTAGCACTTAGTTCAAAGAAAAACATTGAGAAAGATTACTCTTGCTCATCAGATGAATTAATGTATTATCGTATTTTGCAAGTCTGTCGAGCCAGCCCTGAGGACTGGACACCTCACCTCTATTAAGTGTTCACGCGATACAACAAAAGCCTGTTTCAGAATCGTGGTGGTGCTGTGACCTGGGCAAGCAAGTGGGTGGCCATCCCTTCTGTGTCCTGAAGCAGTACAGGACCAAGACACGGCAGACCCCTGCACTGGCTACTGCCGGGCTCCAAACATAGAAATGCTAAATGCAGATCCTGGCTGTTCCGCTGACCAGCTCTGTGCCCTGGGCACACCAGCTATGCACCCATTGTCACAGGGCTCACCTAAAGTGATACTCGGAGAATCATAGTAGTCATATAGAAGTCTTAAAGTACATCTGCTAGAATCGTAGGGATGGGGACCCAAATCCCTAGATAGTGAAGAGTAGTTTTATGAGAAAGCATAAGAAGAAACCCTGGGAGAGAAATTAAGAAAATCATTAAGCAATACAGGATCTATCTCAGAAAGACTGGCCTGACAATTCCTACCAATGAACATATTCAAAATTATAAAAAAATCTAATTTTATAGTAGACCATATATTTTTATATTTGTCTGCTTAGCAAGTAGTAGAAAAACTAAATTATTTTTAAAAGGGTTTGGCAGTACCTCTAGGGTCCCACAATCACAGTCTTCTCCCACTTCTACCAACTGGTTCCCACAAACTGGGGTAGATATGATATTTTTAGGTAGTGGGACATTAAGGAGGCAATTTGACAGTTTATCTTCAAGGAATCTATCATAGTTGGCACGGCTACAGGAACTGAAATCTGTGGGTATATAGAAGCTGTGAAGACAAAAGAAGAGAAAATGTAATAGCGTCCTTCTTGGCACATAGGGGCCAACATCTAATAATGAGTTGCAATTACACCTACAGCTTGGTCCAAAAACTTCCAAGTCTGTTCCACTGACCAACTGCCAATTCACGAGCTTGTTTGTATGCCTGAATTAATCTGACTTCGGTTCATAAAGACTCACCCAGCTCAATAAGAAAATAGGGACATATTTCAAAATGTGACATCCAGATCAATTTGCTACAACAAAAATGCTTCTGACTTATCAGGATAATATTATTCAGGCTTAGCTCACTTTGGGCTGTGAAGTCCTAAGGCAAAATCATTTATTCCTTCATCTTCGAATATACTTTCTCTTACAGCAATTTGAAAATGTCTTCATCCCACCAACACACATGAGGTTTAAATCTTGACACGACCTGAGAGAGATTACATAAGCTGTATCTGTATCTGTCTGTAGTTGGTGAGAGAGAATGAACTTCTTGTAGGCCATGCCCAACAGGGCTGGGGGACAAGAATAAAAAAGAAATGAAAACATGAAGGGGACTGTGAAATCTTTAAAAAATATGATTTCCTAGAAATATTGTCCAAGGCAAAACAGGCATATGTCATCTCTTTTCACAGACTATCTTCAGCTTCCTGTGAGAAGTTCCTTTCTGAATTCAGTTTTTCGGCAAGAACCTGTTCCCTACCACCACCCCTCTGCATCCATGGAAAATTTGATGCTAATGTGTTTTGGAGCAGCATCTTTTTTTTTTTTTTTTTACAAAGTGCAGATTTAATTTTCATCTGTTGGCCTCAGTAAACATCTTATTTCAGGTCCTTCCCACCCCATTCCAAGGAAGGAAGGGGAAAAGCTACTTTTCATTTTTACTTAAACCTCTAATAGCAAGGAAAAAAAAGATTTAATAAAGATAACTTTTTGCAAGCATATTTCCAGGTAAAATTCCAAAAGATAATAGTAGTGGGTGGAAAGTAACCTTTCATAATTAATATATGTAATAAAATGGTGAGTGCACAGTGTAGGCAACCATGCTGATTTGGCAATTTTAAGGTTTCCAATTATGATAAAAGTACACAACTGAACAAAAATCGCCTTGATACATGACCGAATCATTGTATTAGGGTTGGATGAAGATGGTCCTGGTTTTGGCCCCTACAAGAAGTTGATTCTCTCTCACCAACTACAGATAGCCTCAACCTCAGTCCAATGGACATTACTGTTCAAAGAGGCTTCTTGCTTACTCTACCACACAAATACAGCATCTTCCCCAGAGGATAGGGCTAAACGAAGAGTACCAATGGCTTAAGTCTGCCAGGTTGGAGCAGCATCTTGTGCAGATGAAGATAAAATAATGAGTGGCCTCAAAGCAGAGGCAATGCGTTTAAGCTGTGTCTTAGTTCATACAAAATGGTATGCGTAGAACACCAGTCAGGCAGTGTGATATACTATGTCACTGAATAATTTAATTATTAAATGACTGAATTTAAAAAGAATAGTGTAGCTCAGAGAAAGACAAAAGAAAGGTGCCTGAGCATTGCCCAGAGTCTCACCTTATTGTTTTCTTCATCACGCAGACTGTGGAAGGACATTTGCAGTCCAAGGCGTCATGAATCATCCCAAGATTGTGCCCCATCTCATGAGCCATTGTTCCTGCTACTCTGAGATGATTGCTGCTGTGGTCCTAGGGACAAGAACGTGAGAGGGACTCTGGTAAGCAAGTAGAAGTGTGGCCCAGAGAAGTTGTTTTTCATATTTACATAGTCTTTCTGTTATCAAGTAGCAGAGAAAGACCAAGTTCAGTTTTAGTCCCTCCCACACCCCTTTTGTATTGTATGTCCATCTCAATATATAACAAGCCATTTTCTCTTCCAATTTTGTAGTGATATCTTCCAAACTAAACGACATATATTTCACTTCTGCATATCCAAGAAAGCGTATTACAAATCCAAATTCATGGGCTGGCCAAATGGCTCAGCAGATTAAAGCACCTGCTAAAGTGTCTTCCTAGGCAGACACAGCGGCCAGGGTTCGATCCCCAGCCTGCCATACTGGCCCAGCCTGTGGGGCTTGCTGAAACAGCAATTGGCGTGGTGGCGCATGCCTATAATTCCAGCTGTTGGGAGGCTGAACACAGACAGATCGCTATGACTCTGATCTGCATAGTGAGACCCTGTAGATCCTGTACTAAAACACAAAAATAAATAAAGTAACAAATCCAAACTCATAAGATATTTACTAAAAAAATAACTGATTCCATTTATGCTGGTGATTCAGAAAGCTGGAAATAACAGTATTCTGCTACTAACAAGGAAAAGAAAATTAAAAAATTAAAACCTCCTTTGAATCCACTAGTAAAGTGGAGTTTCAGGAAGCCAAAGGGTCAGACTGACAAAATTCACTGTATTACAGGAAACATGTTTTCAAAGTTTATTTGGAAAGAAAAAATATGAAATCAGATAGAGATTTTGGTCATTATAAAGAGACAAGAAGTGCTAGAAAGTCAATAAAATGAAGATAAGCATAAAACTAGGATTTTTTAAAGTTTCAATGAAAGATGACTGTGTACAGAAATATTACTAACAAATATATTGTGATGTGTAGTACATGTAATTTAAACATAGTAACAATGGCACAATGGGTGACAGAGAAGAATTAACAGTTTCTTTTCTGAAGTTCTTACTGGGCATATAGCACATTATAATGTTATTTTGACATATGACAAAGATATTTGGTAAACATTATGGCAAATGTCAAAATATAATATAGTTTTTGGTAAAAAGCTAAATATTGAGTTAAATAAATTACTATTAAAAAATTCAGTTCATGTTAAGAAACTCAAACCAAAGATTAGTAAGAATAAAAAAAGGGGGTGTCAGCTGGATATCTCAGTGGACTAAAGCACCTGCTTAGGCAAAGCACAGGGACCAGGGTTTAATCCCCAGTACCACAAGCCATGCTGGCCCCGCCCCGGGGGCACTGAGACTGTGACTGAGACTGGGTGTGGTGGCGAGTGCCTATAATCACAGAGCTTGGCAGGATGATAACAGGAGGATCACTATGAGTCCAATCTGTACAGTGAGACCCTGTAGACCCTGTACTAAATACATAAAAAAAAGAGTAGAAGACAGCTAACAAGATGATGATTTTGGGGCCAGGGAGATGGTTCCGTGGAATAAGTGCTTCCCTGGCAAGCGCAAGGGTCTAAGTTCAATCACTGGTTCCAAAAAAAAAAAAAAAAAAAAAAAAGATGATGATTTTAGTCCAAGAATATCAATTATTATATTACATATAAATTATTTCAATGAACTAAATAAAAAATAAGAAATGTTTCATATAAAATTAAAAAGAAAAATTCAATGATCTACTATTGACCTGAAACCTTTCCTAAATACAAAGTTCTATGAAGGTTAAAAGTACAAGGAAGAAAAGGGCTTATAAGACAAATATTAGCCAAAAAATGTTAGCATAACTACATTAATTTCAGACACAGGATAGAGTCCAGAACAAATAAGAGTTCAGATCTGTGTATTTGAAATTGGTGGAATGATTGTAAAAGGGTCATTTTTTTTCAAGAGAAGCTCACAACTATAGTTAAGTACATACCTAACAACAGAGCTTCAAAATTCATGAGCCAAAAAAAAAATTGAATTGAAAGAACTGGAAAACTGACAGTGTTACTTAGGTACTTCAATACCTTCATTGTTTATTAGGTTAAAAGAACTGATCAGGGCTGGTGAGATGGCTCAGTGGTCTAAAGCACCTACTTAAAAAAACAAGCTTAGCAAAGCCCAGGGACCACAGTTCAATCCCTCAGCACCACATGCCAGCCAGCCCG